CCATTATTCCCTGTCCTAGGATGTGGGACTCACAAAGACCCACAAGGATTCACAAGAACACATCTTCTGGGCCCTGAGGTATAAAGACAATAGCTAGGACAATCTTGGAAAGCATCTTTTAAGGAAACTTTCACATAAACAGATCATAAACAGAATAAAAGACCCACATACTTTCCACTCTTATCTTTTTTTTATTAGCATTTAGTGAATAGTAAGATTTGTTGGACCAATGAAGACCCTCTTGACTGTCATAACGGAAAACTGTACTAATGATTGTTAAGAAAGACGATTCACCATGCTTTCAGGGGACATCTAGGTCAATTGGCATAACAAAGTTTTTTAAAGAAAATGTTCTGCATCCCACTTTGGTGAGTGGCATCTGGGGTCTTAAAAACTAGCGATCGACCACCTAAGATGTATCAACTGATCCCAACCCACCTGGAGTAGGGAGAATGATGAACACCATGGACATAAGGAAAGTATTAGCCAGAGAGACAGAAAGGGCCACATAAACCAGAGGCTTCATCAGCCTGAGACCAGAAGAACTAGATGGTGCCTGGCAACCACAATGACAGCCCTGACAAGGAACACAACAAAGAGTCCCTGACAGAGCAGGAGAAAAGTGGGGTGCAGAACTCAAATTCTAGTAAAAAGACCAGACTTATTGGTTTGATTGAGACTGGAGGGACCCTGGAAGATGTGGCCCCGGGCTCTTTGTTAGCCCAAAACTAAAACCATTCCTGAGGCCAACTCTTCAGACAAAGATTAGACTGGACTATGGGACATAAAATGATACTTGTGAAGAGTGTGCTTCTTAGCTCAAGTAAATACACGAGACTAAACGGACAGCTCTTGTCAGGAGGTGAGATGAGAAGACACAGAAGGTCAGGAGCTGGTGGAATGGACATGGGAAATCCGGGGTGGAAAGGAAGAGAGTGCTGTCACAGTATAGGGAGAGCAAGTAGGGTCACAAAACACTGTATGTATGTATAAATTTTTGTACGAGAGACTAACTTGAATTGTAAACTTTCACTTAAAGCACAACAATTAAAAAAAAAAAGATTCAAAATGTAGGATTATGGAGATTTAGCAGTTTCTAGCCAATCTGTGAAAAGGTGAAGCTTTCAATGGTTTTGCCTATTTGTGATGTTAATATAATATATACTGATGATTCTGTAACATTCTTTGGACTCGAACAGACATGGCTGTGGCAGCATGCTTGTCCATTTCCCATTTCTGCCCTTTTGAATATATGTCAAACAAAACTTCTCTTTTTGCTTTACTAAACTTTGTGATGTTTTTACCCTACAGCAGTACCGAGTGAAAAGGGTACCCGGGGGCCATACTCTCCGGATTTCTTCAGTCTCTGTCAGACCAGTAAGTCTGGTCTTTTTTTTGTGAGTTTGAATTTTGTTCTACATTTTTATCCAGCTCTGTCCAGGATGCAATTTACTTTTTGAATCAAATTTTTCTTCTGAGGATTCCATTTACATTTACAAGGGAAATGTTTCCATTTTATGTTTTAATAAACTTTATATTACAGAACAGTTTTAGATTTACATAAAAACTATGGAAATAGTACAATCCAGAGATTTTAAATCTGTGAACCCTTGAGCAAATGATTTAACCTATTTGAGTCTCAGTTTCCTTATATGTAAAATGGGATATAGGGTCTTTTTCATATGTTTGCTGTAAGAATTAGAAATAATATTTATAAACCAGCTCACACTTGGCCCTCTAGCCATGTGACTGGATTCAGTTAAAGGCTACTGTCATGCCTGCGTGTGCAGGCCAGTCATTTACAGCCTTTCAATCTCTGTGTCATTCATTTGTCCAAGAGACATTTGGGCAATAGCCACATCTCTAGAGTGACCTAACTACTCTCCGTTCAAGGTCATAGTCATACCAGTACCACAAAAAGAAAAATCCTACTCCAGGAATTCTAGGCTATGTAACCATTAACTCATGGCGATTCTTTTAGACAATTGAACTCCTTGTTAGTCTAGAAGAATCTAGAACTACAACCCTTCATATTCTTTTGTATGTCTGCTCCAAAACCAGCTGAATTCAGCCAGAGATGAGTAAGATCAAATGACTCACTAATGGTGATAATGGCCAACCATCCAATTTGAGAAAAAAAGAGATTTTCAAGAGCACATTACCTGTGATGCTTCAGGCTGTGACGATAAAACATGCAGGACTAAATCCCAATGTGTGTGTTTTTTTAAAATATATCTTTATTTGGCTTTAAAAACTTTCTTTTTGGAAAGAAAAATAATTAGCTTCATTGCTATGGGGAAATGCTAATTATTATTTTCATAGCAAATATTTTTTGAACACTAACAATATGCCAAGCACCATGCCAAGTGCTGTACATCTATTTTCTCCCATAACCCTCACTATAACTCAGTGAAAAGAGCCCTGGTGGCACCGTAGTTAAGCACTCAGCTGCTAATCAAAAGGTTGGTGGTTTGAACCCACCAGCCCCTCCATGGGAGAAAGATGTGGCAGTCTGTTTCCTTAAAGATTTACAGCCTTGGAAACCCTGTGAACAGGGGCCTATCTATGGAAAATAGCGCCTATGGCCATTAATTTTAAATTACTGAACGAGCTCTCACAGCTGACGATGGAACTGCGATGGCCAATAGAAACTGCTCATTAGCAACCCTCCTTAAGTGGTGCCCAGGGCATACACCCTACCTGCCACACCTTAGTTACGCCTCTCCTATGAGACAGCTCTACTCTGCTCTATAGAGTCGCTTTGAGTCGGAATTACTCCACTCGAAGGCAGTGGGTTTAGGTTTGCTTTGGTTATAACTCAGTGAGGGAGGCACTGTTACAAGATGACAAAACTGACACGGATTTTAATTCTACGGCTTTGCTTTTAACTCCTAGACATTACTGTGTTATAAGATTTTATTCAACAAGTGATTTTGAGCATCTATTCTGTTAGTTATTGTGCCGGTGCTGAGGACAGTGGGGAACAAGACAGACATGGACACCGTGATATGGTTTATAGTACAGAGCAAGGGTAGATGATTGCGAAGTAATTTCAGTAAGGTCTGGTGAGTGTTATAATGGAGAAGAGAAGGGTGTCAAGGGAGTAGTCAAAGTATAATTTTACATCAGTTTAGCAATCCAGATCACAGTTTACTACTAATTTTGCATTCCGTGGAGAAATTTGGGTTGTTGATTATATGTCATTTAGTTCACAAACCTATAATCCCTTAACTTCTCAGTAGTTTTTTCTCCTTCTTTCTTCTTCCCTTTTTCCTTTCTTTGCTTTTTTTACCTAAGTTAAGACTATTTCTTCCCTATTAATTTTCTAGAATTAAAATTGAAGCATTGAGTTTCTGCTTATTGTGATAGAAAATTTGGCAATGGATATTGGTGATGGTTGCACAATATGATTGATGTAATTGATGTCACTGAATTGTAATAAGTGAGAAAATGCTGAAATTGACAAATGTTGTGTTATGTCTATTTTTATAACCAAAAAAAAAAAACACTATTGGCAGAAAAAATGTCTTTTTGTTTATAACTGGAAGAAAGGGAGATTTTTTTCAGAGATCACTTTTTTCTGTTATACAAAGGAAGGGAAAATGTTTCGTGATATTTGAGGCCAACTTCTAAGACCCTTTCAAGAAAGATCTAATTCAACCATTTTCTCAGAAGGCAGTTTCACAGTCCAAAAACACCTCTTAGTTAAACTTAACTGAATTTTTGAACATCAATCAATTCATATAAAACAATACTGAGTTAAGTAAAATGAATCAGAAATATGTACCTTACATTTCCCTTAGGAGCATTTGAATGTTAAAAGAGAAATTCTTCTAGAAAAATCATTTTGTTTTTGTCAAACCATTATATATGAAAACTAATTTAAAATATTTTGTGAAACCCCATATCCCCAGAGATCCATCCATCTCTCTCAAATTGTTAGAACATGTGTTTTACTTCTACACCTAAACTTATCCAATTTGGGTTCTCTCCTAGAATTAAAAAAATCCCTTAAAGAGGGGAAGAAAGCTACCAAACTGCAAACCCAAACCAACTGTAACTTTTGGATTTGAGAGTTAGTCTGCATTTTTTTTTTTAAGGAATTCACTTGCAGAGTCTCTTTTAGAATAATCATAACCACAGTATGTTGGCTCTTATTAAGTTCTAAGTGCTGTGCAGACTTCTTTCAATATTGTGTCAATTTCAGGGTGCAAGCAACAGAGAAATGATCACTTAATTACTGCAGGCTTATTAAAAATGATAAAAGTGATATGACTAAATGATATGAGGAAGTAGAAAAGATAGAAAAAGTTCTCTTTGGCAGGCTCATGAAAAACTAGAATTTCATTATAGCCCCTCAGATACAGCTAAGTAATAGCTCTAGCCTGGTAATATATATAACCTACACTCTGGTGACCTCACAGGAACTCCTGCCTCTCTGCCGTGCACATGTCTCAGCTCTTCTGTGTGTTTCTCTCTACCTGCTTATTTTTCTTACTATTGCTACTGCCTGCACTCTACTCACTTTCTCTGCCTCATGGCTTTGCTTACTCATGCCTTCTGTTTCCTGCCTTCCTTTTCCCACTTCTGCATTTACCCAATGCTGACCATCCTTGGATGTTTCACTCTCAAACCCTGTCAGAGAAAGAAAGGCCGCTCCTGTTGGGCAGAGCTCTTGTGCCAAGCTTGATCATACGCCATTAGTCTTTAGGTCACGTCTATCCCTGTCTAATTAGCACAGTTACATGGCAAAAAAAAAACATGGGAACACACCTATAAAAAACAAAGAACTTCTCTGATGCTTTACAGAAGCCAGCAATGAAACCGGCTAGGTGCCTTATAAGGCCTGTGTATGCAGGCAGTGCCTGGGTTATGACCGAGATGGATTCCTGAGTGAGTCTTTAAGAATTTGTAGGTAAGTCGGAACAGGGGCATACGGTTCTTATTTAGCCTTACTTTGGAAATTCTACTGGGCAGCTCTACTCTGTCTCATAGGGTCACTATAAGTCGGAATCAACTCAACGGCAATGGGTTTGGTTTGGTCGGTTAGCGCAAGAAAAGAGACATGGTGGTGCACTGGTTAAAGCACTCGGCTGCTAACCAAAAGGTTGGCGGTTCAATCCCACCAGCCGTTCTGTGGGAGAAAGATGTGGCAGTCTGCTTCCATAAAGATTTACAGCCTTGGAAATCCTATGGGGTTGTTCTACCCTGTCCTATAGGGTCACTAGGAGTTGGAATTGACTCAGTGACCGCAGGTTTGGTGTTTTAGGGGTTTAGTGCAAGAAAAGGCTCGAAGTCTTTTTGATGATTTAAAAGCTGCTTGTGCAGCAAGTGAAGGTGATGGTGATGAAGAATTTGTTTCCAGCAGGGTTCGTTCAATTGTTTCAAAGTGAGGGCAAGTTTACTTAACATTAAAGGGCAAGTACAAGCTGTCAATAAGTCAGACATTCTTAACCTGGGGACTGCCTGTACGTTATTATCTAACTTTGAAACTAAACAAATGCAGTGTTTATATACAGTAAACTCTATCACCATCATTGCCATTATCATGATCGTATCCACCTTTTATAATAATATCTGAAGCTTCACAAATATCCTACATAAATGGGTAGCTCTTGTTTTTTAAATATTCTTGTTAGCAGAGAATTTTTCGGTATACTAAATGAGTATTGTTGATTTTTAGAAGAACAAGAATAAGAAGGCATCACGGCACAATGCAGTGGTTTTCAAACTGGAGATGTTACAGGACAGTGGGGTGTGGGTGGCGAAGGGGAAGAGAAGTGAAACAGCAAAACCAGCTGTTCAACCAGAACATCCAGGAGTTTATCTGTTTTATATTTTTCAGGTTCACAGAAGCTCTTGCTTTAAGAGAAGATTCTATGAGTTGGACTCAACTCGATGGCAACAGGTAACAAAAAGTTTGAAAACCATCTTTAGAGATATATGTTCAAATCCCAGTTCTTCATCTTTCTTGCTGTGTCAAAATGTATAAGTTAATTACTTCCTTTTGGTCTTTCTTTCCTTACTTTAAAAATGGGGATAATGGTAGCTCCTTTGTAGGTTTGATGTGTGAATGAAATGAAATATAGCATAAAATACACCTGGATCATTGTAATTAGATGAATGTTGGTTCCTGTCCACATCAAATACTGAACAGTAAAACTCTACTGACTGAGAGTTATACAAAGTGTCAAGCTAAAAATCCAATATTCTAGTAGAGAAACCAATTAAAATTTTAGAAGTTAACAGCAGAAGTCCTCACCTGTTCATTAGTTTGAGAGAAAGTTTTACCTCCATTACATTAACCAATGAGAAAAATATGTTTAAATCTCTACAATAAGAATATTTATTTTTCTATGAGTAAAACAAAGACTAAGATTTAACATGTTTAACTGTCAATACAGAATCTTATTTAAACTAACATAACATCTACTATCTTTCACAGTTTCTGAGGGTCAGGATTTTGGAAGTGGCTTAAAAGATGGTTCTGAATCAGGTTTGTTATGAGATTGCGGTCATCGGAAGACTTGACCGGGGCTGGAGGATTTGCTTCCAAGGAGGCTCTTCTTTAGCTTACTTGAGTGTCCTCACAGCATGACAGCTGGCTCTCTCCTGTGTAAGCAATCCAAGAGAACAATATGGAAGCCTCAATGTTTTTTATGACCTACCTTTGGTAATCACACATCATCACCTCCATTATACATTTTTATTCAATCTATGAGGATACGACACAACGGAGTAAATGCCAGAGGTGAGGATCAGTGGGGGCCGTCTTGCAGGTTGGCTACCACAAAGGATAACATATTAGTCAGGACTCATTCGGTTAAGTTACAGAAGCACAATTCAAAGTTGCTTAGGCAAAGCGGAACTTATGAGTTCACATAACTAAACTGTCATTAAGGGTGGGGATGCATCTTGCCTCGGATATCAGTGCAACTGGGTACACAAGCACCCTCAGAACTCTTTGTCCACTCCATGGATCTGCTTCTCTATGTCAGTGCTATGCTCACAAACAGTATGCCTCCACATGGCAATCGCTTGGTGGGGCACAACCCTTTCACCTTGTTATGGTTTGAGTTATAATCCCCCAAAATATGTGTTGTAAATCCTAACCCCTATACCTGTGGTTATAATTCCATTTTGGAGTAGGTTTTCTTTGTTATATTAATGAGGCAATATTAGTGTCTAGTGTGTCTTAAATCAATCTCTTTTGAGCTCTAAAACAGCAGATTAAGCAAGCAGAAATGAAGGGAGATAGATGCCAGGCCACATGAAGACAGCCAAGGAACCGAGGAACAGAAGCTGAAGAGAGACAAGGACCGTTCCCGAGAACAAAGAGAGAGAATTCTCCTAGAGCCAGCGCCCTGAATTCGGACTTCTAGCCTCCTAAATGTGAGAAAATAAATTTCTGCTTGTTAAAGCTACCCACTTGGGATATTTTTGTTATAACTGCACTAGATAACTAAGACATACCTTTACCTTCAAAGAGTAACTAAATATCTTCCCTTAATTCCAATTTTAAAATTCCTGGTGAAAATTTCTCATTAGACCCACTCGGGCCATGTGATGGCCCCAATGGCCATTCGTTTGAGTACTAGAGTTGGCTCTTCCACCAGAACCATCGGGTTTGAGCGCAAGGTAGACCAGTTTCCAAAGATAAGTGGATGCTATTCCCAGAAGGAAGAAGAAATTTGGGAGAGTGGGAACAATAGTGGTCTACCAAAATTAAATATCTTAAGTTACCTAAAAACCAACCACTTCACATTTTTAAAAAACTAAACCACCCTGAGTGAGCAACAGCTACCTTTCCTCCTACCGCCATTTTCTTCTACTCAACTTTACCATTAATACACTTTTTTTTTCAGCCCTTAAGGCAAATATTTATAGAACAATAAAGCCTTTTTAATCCTTTCTCAAAGGTTTATTTTAAGATTATGCATTATTTTAATTTGATATCAATGTAATTTGCAAATGGTTCCAATGAACAGTGCCAATGTTGAATAATGTGAAGTTCATAGAAGACAATTACAGTTGTAGGGTAGACATAAGGAATATTCAAAACCTGAAATGAGGTTTGACAAAAATGCTAAGGACATCAAAATAAGGTCTTTATCTATCTACCTGTTGCCAGCAAGTTGATTCCAACTCATAGTGACCCTATAGACCAGAGTAAAACTGCCCTATATGGTAGTAATCTTTATGGAAGCAGACTGCCACATCTTTCTCCCATGGAGCAGCTGGTGGGTTTGAACCACTGACCTTTCAGTTAGCAGACCAACGCTTAACCACTGCACCAGTAGGGCTCCTTATCTACCTGCGTACATGTAATATTCTGATACTATATGTATTTATACGTATATATAATATATTTATATATATTTGTGTGTGTATATATATATACACACACAAATATATATGTAAAATTCAGAATAGAAAAACAAGGAAGAGCTATACTTACTACTGTTGACAATATTAATGTACCCTAAAGTGCAGAATTCCTCAAATCTTTCTTCCTTTTTCTACATAGAAAACACTGAACTTTCCACTGGAAAATGCAGATCAATCACTGCTAAAATGCACCTGAAGCCAAGATAGATAAAGGAATAACAAGTGAGCACCTAATTGCTTTAATAAATTCAATGCTTATGGCCTAGTAAAAGATTTACTAAGTTATTACATAACATGCAAATGTGCTTGAGGACTCAGTCTCGGTAATCTTTGAAAAATCATGAAGTTCTTCAAGTAAGTTATGCTGACCAGCTGTTATTACTGAGTCCAACCCAAAAATATTTCCCTTTGTAGATGTGAATAAACCAAACAGAGGTTCTTCCAAAAGGTAACGGCAATTATCACCTTATCTGTCTGGTAAAAATAATGGCCGTAAGCCTCAGAAGTGTGATCAAGAGAGGCTCAGAATAATCGAAGTGTTGGAGCAACTCCATACGAGTTACCCAGGAGATGGTCAATATTATTCACATTTCTTAGAAGCTTGGAGAGAGACCCGAGGAGGAACCAAGGGTCATTTATTCAAGCCAAACTGACCACAACCCTCTTTTAGGAAAACCTCAGAGATAATTTTCTCACAAATCCTACGAACGTTTTGAAAAACCATCTCAAAGGTAGGACAGTTGTAGGACAATCTTTCATCTTCTGGACAAACTGGAGTCCAAAAGAGATATAATGTAAGCACATATGTAAGCCACATAGGTAAATTTAAATCTAGTGGCCATATTAAAAGAAATAAAAAGAAACAGGTAAAATTAATTTAATAATACATTTTATTTAACCCAGTATATAAAAAATATTAGAAATTCAACATGTAATATAAAACGTTATTGAAATACGTTACATTCTTTGTTTGTGCTAAGTCTTTGTGCAGCGGTTAAGCACTCAGCTGCTAACCAAAAAGTTGGCAGTTCGAACCTACCTAGTGACTCTGCGGGAAAAAGACCTGACAACCTGCTTCCATAAGATTACAGCCAAGAAAACCCTATGGGGCAGTTCTACTTCATTACATGGGGTTACTAGTGGTGGAAATCGATTCAACAGCATCTAACAAGAACAAGGCTTTGAAATCCAGTGTGTGTTTTAAACTTATGGGAAAAAAAAATACAAAAACACAGTTGCTGTCAAATCGATTCTGACTTGGGCAACCCCCTGTGTGTCAGAGTAGAACTGTGCTCATATGATTTTCAATAGCTGTATTTTCAGAAGTAGATCGCCAGAATTTTCTTTGGAGGTGTCACTGTGTGGACTTGAACTGCCAAACTTTCAGTTAAGTATGTTAACTGTTTACTCCACCCAGGGACTTACAGCACATCTCAATTCTAACTAGCCACGTTTCAAGTGCTCAGAAGCAACATGTAGCTAGTAGCTACAGTATCGGGCAGCACAGCTCTATTCTAGGGTTATGGATAGGTGGTCCTCACAAGATTGTTTTTGCTTTCCGAAAGGACCTGAAAACTTACCAAAGGCCTCTCTGGCCCATCCAAAGGACTCTTCAAAGCCCACTTTATGATTCCTCATATTCTTTCCATCCTTTGTCATGTGTATACTTATTTCTTTTGGTTAGCTTAATAATTCTAAAAGTAGACCCATTCAATGTATTTCCTCTACCTTTTTTCATAAAAAAGCTATGGTTTAAAAAGATCATGAGGGCAAGACTTATATGAGTTCAAATTCTGTGTTCACTGTTATGACTATTATAGAGACTTCTATTTGTTCCTAATATCTGTCTTCCCCTCGATAGTCAAAGAAACTTAGCTGAACCTGAGGTCACTTAAGAAAAGAGCTACCACACTTCCCAGCCTAATCTGCAGCTATGCAGGGCCACATGCCTAAACTCTGGCTAATAGAATATAAGCAGAAGTGTCATGGGGGAAGCTTCTGGGAACTTTCCTAAAGAGCAGCCCTTGTACCCCTTTTGACCTCTTCTTCCTTCCTCCTTTCTCCTGCTTAGAACATGGATGTTGACATCTTGTGCTATAAAGTCAAGGCCATGCACACCTTGAAGCACCATATCAGCTCACAGACTTTTATACAAGAGGGAAATAAACTTCTATGGCACTGTAGTTTTGGATTTTCAATCAATTCACCTGCAGCAAAAATCCTAATCTAATGACTTTGGGTAAATATTTAACTTCTGAAAGTTGCAAGAATTAAAGATGAAAGTGTCTGTCCTAATCCCTAGTACAAAGTTGATGTTGCTGTTAGCTGCCATCAAGTCTGCTCCAACTCATGGTGACCTCATGGGCAACAGAACAACTTTGCCTGGTCCTGTGCCATCTTCACGGTCGTGGGTATGTTTGAGTCCATTGTTGCAGCCTCTGTGTATTTTGATTGTCTTCCAACCTAGGGAGCACATCTTCCAGCACTGTATCAGACAATATTCCATTGTGATCATAAGGTTTTCACTGGCTAATTTTTGGAAGTAGATTACCAGGCCTTTTTTTCAGTCTGTCTTAGACTGGAAGCTCCATCAAAACCTGTCCACCATGTGTATCCCTGCTGGTATTGAAATACATAGGTGGCATAGCTTCCAGCATCATAGCAACACACAAACCACCATAGTATGGCAAAATGACAGACAGGAGGTAGTACAAAGCAGCCACTTCAGATTGTTAGATTTATAGAAATATATTAAAACTAAAAAGTCATTACCCTACCCCTGAAACTGTTGCCCTGAGATAATCTTTAAATCTTAAGCCAAAAATATCCCTTGAAGTCTTCTTAAAACCAAACAATAGTTTAGCTTAACTAATAAAAAAAATCTGCCTTGAGAATTATGTTCTTTTAAGAACTGTCTGTATGGGATCAAATTGACAACAGAAACTTAAATAGGAAACTTAGAGGGTAGTGAGTTTAAGTTAATAGAGGAGGAACAACTCAGAAAAGGAGGATGAGAATGGTTACACCACTTGAAGAATGTAAACAATGTCTCTAGATGGTACATGTAGAAACTGTTGAATTGGTGTATGTTTTACTGTGTAAACAACAGCAAAATAAATAAAATTATATATTATAAAGAACTGACATTGACAACAAATACACTTGTAACAATCAAGTAAGTGTATTTTCTCCTCAATTAGAGAATAAAAGTTTATTATCTACAAATGCAAAAAAAAAAAAGCCATCTATATGAAAGCAAAAGGTCAACAATTACTCTAAAGCTATGATTAGAAGATAAGGGAGCAGGACAACTAGAGCACTGGGAACAGAACAACCAGAACACAATTAAAGAGAATGTTGACACATTGTGAAAAATGTAACTAACATCACTGAACAATCTGTATAGAAGTTGTCAAATGGGAACTTAATTTGCTGTGTAAACTTTCATCAAAAATACAATAAAATATATATTTTTTAAATTCATCACTCTGTAGCTTTCTAAATAAGCTCTTCTTTTTGCTCTTCCAGCTCAGCTTTCTGGCTTCTTTCTAAACTACATTTAGATGATACAAAAATCTTCATCACATTTGCATTTATCCCCCGGAAAATTGTCTGACTGCCAGTATAGTCATGCTCATGAACGCCTGATGGCGCAGAAAAGCCTTTGCTAAACCAAAAAACAAAACAAAACAAACAAAAAACGAAAACCACGGCCATAGATTCAATTCTGACTCATAACAACCCTATAGGACAGAGTAGAACTGCTCCATAGGGTTTCCAAGGCTGTAAATCTTCATGGAAGCAGACTGACACATCTTTCTCCTGTAGAGCAGCTATCCTGACCTTTGGGATAGCAGCCCAGCGCTTAACCACTGCACCACCAGGGTTCCTTCATTAGTCATTAGAGAAATGCAAATCAAAACCACAATGAGATACCATTTCACCCCCACCAGGATGGCATTATGACAGCACTTGGCAGTGCTGTTTCAGAATTTCTAAAGCAACAAGACACTAAGATCATCAGGTCCTTCCTCACTGTAAGCCACACTTCTCAACCAAGCAGACCTATTTACTGTACTATTCTTTTTTACATAGGGAAATAAAATCATGAAAGGACTCTTTTCACAAGTTTCCCACTTTCCTGGAGGGTGAGAGGCAGGGAGTGAAAAAGCATAGAAAGTATTCAATATTCTATCAGTTGTCTTCAGGTATGGCTTTTGCAGTGGAACAATGCATGAAAGTTTTCAACAAAACCCATTTTTAAAAACAGAAGTTCAAAAATACACAGTGATATCAGGAAGCATTTATTTCTAGAACTCTATACTAAAAGGTAATTGCCAACACACATTACGGTTCTAGAGGACACTGATGTATTTAATTTGGATATAACACCATTTTTTTGTGTGTTGTCATTTATTATGCATTTAAAGAACAGTTAAAAATGAGGGTGTATAAGGCAAACAAACTGAGGCACTAACTTGAAAGAGCCCCAATGTCCAGAGGTGAACCAATCTGAGCCACAAAATAAGTAACAATAGTATTGGATTGTAATCCAAAGAATAAAATAAATATCACGGAGTCCATCCTGATAAAAATAAATTGGGGATAAGGGACAAATCTTAAATAAATAATTAAATAATTAAATAAATTGGGGTAAGGGAAAAATCTTCTTTACAAAAAATTGTAAATAATATATGTAGATACTCCCACTTCAAGAGGTGGAGCCTCATTCCCCTCTCCTTGAGTATGGGCTGCATTTAGTACTTACTTCTAAACAACCGAGTACGGAAAGAGAAAAATAGTAACTTTAAGGTAAAGAAACCTGGCAGACACCACCTTAACCAAGTGGTTAAGGTTGATGTCATCAGTGATAAGTCAGGTTGATATCATGTACTCTCTGATATCATGCAACGAGAATGGCATTTTACCTTTGTGGAATTCTTCTCCAAATCCATAATACCAGTCTAATTAAGAGAAAACATTAGACAAACCCAAATTGAGGAATATTCTACAAAATATCTGACCAGTACTCTTTAAAACTGTCAAAGTCATGGAAGACAAGGAAAGATGGAGGTTTTGTCACAGACTGGAGGAGACTAAGGAGACATGATAACTAAATATCATGCGGTACCCTGGACTGGAATTTGGAATAGAAAAAGGACATCCATGGAAAAATCTGGCGAATCTAAATATAGTCTA